TATTAATATATTGACATCCCTAATTTATTATATATTATAATTTATAAAATTTAATTTTTTAAAATATCATAAATTTTTTATATATAATTATTTTAAATTTTTTATATTTCGAACAATAACGATTCGAACACGAACGAACGTATCACTGTTCGTGTTTGGTTCGTTTAACTAACCGAACGAAAAAAAATTGTTCACGTTCGTCTCATTTACTTATCGAACAAATCGAACACGAACTCATTGACGAATCGAACACAAACTGTTCACGAACAATGAGCTTTTTTGACAGCCCTAGCGAGAACCCCCGGTTTTTCATTGAAAATCAGGATTTGGACTGACTTACCCGTGCAGGGGTCGGCCAGTTGGCATCAAAATTCTCAATTCAAAGCTTTCAAAATGTTCATCGTAAGCTACAGGTCATATACTAGCGACACATAGCTTTTTGTAGCTTTTGGGTCTATAAAATGGTCTCGAGGACTTCCGGGCCCAAGATTAGGGTCTAGACCTTGGGGTCATATCCGGGCCCCGATGGTAATTCTTGACCCGTACGATGCACCACCAACATCCACTCGGAAGTAGAGAGGTCTATACTCATCCCAGGACACTTTTCGGAGGTTCGAGGGTCCGTCGGAACTCACCCACATGAAGTTTGAAGAAAAGTGGAGTGAAAAAGAAAAAAAATCCCAAATATGGCGCCTCAAGCTTATGGGGGCGCATATGCCCCTCTATGTTGGCGCCTAGTCGCGAACACCCAAATATGATGCCCAATTGGAGCTCCATTCCGAGAGTATGGCGCCTATCGCCAGCTCCTAGTATGCGATAGGCACCTGAGCGCCCCATCTAGCCCTGCGATAGAGAGAGCTTGACGCCTATACGCCCAAGCCCTAGCACATAAGAGCCAGGCTCAATTTATCACGCAGTTTCGACCCACAGGTCCCTGGAAACTTGTCGAAAAGCCGCAAAATCTCTGGTTAACAACCATGGATCGGTTCTAAAGCCAAAAATGAGACCTAGGCTCACTTGGAATGCTTTCTAATGGGGCAAGTTGTCATTTCATGCATTGAGCATAGGGAATATTTTCCTCGTGCAGGGACTTTCAACAAGGATCAAACACTATTTTTGCAAGTTTGGTATGGGAGAGCTCTGGGAGTAGTGAGAGAGCTGTAAGGGAGTTTTGGAGTGATTTGAGAGCTGTTATTCTTGATTCTGCTTTCATCTTTCTCTTTCACCTCTTCTATTTCATTTTCTTCTTCTTCTTCCTCTCAATTTCTCTTTCTGGCTAGCCTGAAAATATAGAGGAAGATAAAGAGTTCTTTTGCACTGCCTCACTAAAGTCTCCTTAAGGAGAGATTTCTCGTTTCTTGGAGGAGGATCTTCGTCGGACCTCAAGACTTTGCCATAATCTTCTCTATGAGGAGAGCTTCTTCATACTTAGGAGAAGGGTTTAGGCCAAAGTTCGGGAGTTTGCCAGAATCTCCTCCTTGAGGAGAGCTTCCTCAAGCTTTGATGAAGAATTTTGGCGACTTCTCTCGTATTAGTGGGAGAGCTTCTTCCTGACATTGTTGGACGTCAAGCTAACACCGTGGCGGTAAGAAACCTCCAACTCTTGCATTTTCCTTCATTGAGCCCCATTGGTTTGGTTGTTAGAGGATTAAAGGCTTAGATTTTGTGTTCTTAGAGGAAGCCAATAGGTTAGGGAGCTTTCGTGGACTTTCCCATAGAAATCCGAGCGATTTCCCCTTGAGCCTTAGACCCAAAATCCCATAAATGACGAGATTGTATCAATCTCGCTATTTGTTTGCCGATTTTACTTGGATGGACAAATGAAATCAAAGGATCGGGCGGATGCGACGCCCCTTTGGTTGTCATTCGCTCGATCGCGAAGAGTTCTCCTCGTGAGTAAATCCTTTGCTCTATGCCTGGCAAACAGGTGGCAAGGTCACATTGCTTCATGCAATATAACGTTGACACCTCTTCCATCGATTCAACCTTGGAACATACGCGAGGTCGTTAGGGCAAGTTCAATGTGTCGTCAAGCGTTTTGTGTTACATTGGATATGTGTGTTCATTTGCTGCATTTTTGCATGTAGATCATGTCATATATCATATGTGTGATCGCGTGAGCACTTCAATTCGACCGGCCTTCCTGACATGATGGACTGATCACTTTAGGTTCGATCGGCCATCCCGAGCCGATCATCCTACTTTTCGGGCTTGATCAGCCGCCCCAACCAGATTGCCCGATCTCATGGGTTTGATTGACCGCACCGATTCGATCACTCGCTTTGGGTTCGATTGGTCGTCCTGGCCTGATCGACCCATTTATTGGGCCTGATCAGCTGCCCCAACCCGATCTCTTCATTTGATTGTCCGCATAGGTTTGAATCAACCGCTTCGGGTCCGATTGACAGTCCCAGCCCGATCGATTTCTCGGGCTAGATTTGCTGCCCCAGCCCGATCGCCCTATATCTTGGTTCGATTGAACTCACTGGTTTAATCACCTGCTTTGGGTCTAATTGGTCATCCCGACCCGATCAACCCATTTCCTAGGCTTGATTGACTGCCCCGACCAGATCGCCTTATCTCTTGGATTTGATCGACCGCACCGCATCGATCACCCACTATAAATAATATCACCATTGTCTATAAATAATATCAAATGGTGTAAAATAGCTGTATATATTTTTTATATTAAAATATTTAAATATTTAAGCTTGTTGTTAGGTGAGTTTTGATTCCTTCACTGAACTCTCATGCTACGTAAAGCGATTATTATGTCCAGAATCCGGACATGGGACGTAATAATTTTTAGTAGTATATGAGGCACAGGCCACCATCCCAACGACATTATTAATAACGCAAGATATGTTCTACCTAAAATAAAAAAAACAATTGAAGAGTTAGAAGTGATGAGGTAAGCCAACAAACTAAATCTTTTAATAACTGAGCCATTACAGCAGTGCACGACGCAAATATGCCGCATAGTAATAATAATAATAATAATAATAATATAATATTGTATAGATAATATATTTTAGTGCAATTAGAGTAATGGTTTTCTGCTTCGTAAACTGTGAAGCAGCATTCACAGTGGCCTCTTAGAAATCCACCTTCCAAACATAGAAAAACATTGCTGTCCCTTAGATTCTGGAGCCGTGTGTCCGGCGCCCTACGTCAAGTAACAAATTAATTAACTTAAAAAGTTATTAATTACAAGTAATTAACTGATGGAGCACTAAATCTGAAATGCTTCACCTTAACAGTCGCAAAGGTCAGATTATTGGAGTAGGATTCCGTGTATCTATTTATAGAAACACAAGGAAATAAAATGACACATCATCATTATAAGTTGTTATAATTGCAGAGCAAGCGATATATACTTATTATCAAGTAATTAGGAGCTTTTTGTTTTTAATAAAGAAATGTCTTTCTCATGATTAAGGAGCAAGTAATTAGGAGGTTTATTACCCAGCAACTTGGCCACTCACGTGCCAGGATCTCCACCGTTGGGTGACAAAGAATTGGAGTGATTTTATCCACTGTTTGGTGCCCACCATGGGGAAAATCATGTCATGATCACCACTGTACGTACCCAAGGAAACAATTTATATGAGAGAGAGAGAGAAAGCTTGAATGAATGAAAGAATGAATTAATGAAGTTTTGTGTGCTAATCAAGTTTGTGGCTTTCACCTGTAAACCAATGCACGACAGCCTCTGGTTGTGATATTAACATGATACTTTAGGCTGCTGCTTATATCCTTTGTATAATTCAAGTATTCATTGCATCTCACCCATTCCTTCACTTTTCCCTGTTTCCATAATTGATCAGTAGCTTAAGTATGATAAAAAAAGGGATTATTTTGATATATACAAGTATTGTTATGCAAAACATTATATCGAATTTAAGATGAATCAAGAATTTCAAAATTCATTGTGATCAGATATTTATATGGAACTGAAACAGAGCTAGACACATGAGTATTTCATATTTTTATATTAATAAACTTCAATGTGAGTTTAAGCTTAAAATCTTATACCTTTTGAACATTGAGAGCATCTTGAACTTCTGGGTTGTTCGCCCATATATACATGAGATAAGGAGCGTATGTCTGCAGCAATATGCTTCAGTCATTGATTTAAAACACATTAATTAATTAAAACTTAATTATGGTGCTGATTGATATTTTGGAAATACAACCAAAAAGAGTAAATGAATTCTTTAATAATATATAGGTAATTAAATAAATAAGGAAAAGTAATTACTCCGCACTTCACTTCAGGAATTGGAGGCCCAGAAAGACCCTTGTTGCTCTCCTGAAGAATAGACCTTCCTGTACTAACAACTATGTATTTAGGATTGGGTGCAGCAAGATTGCATTTGGGCTCCAAAATATCTCCTAACATAAGCTCTGACTTAAACTGCATATTCATATTCATAAGCACTTTCTGATCAAATTATACAGCACCAAAAATTATCAAAATGCAAATAACAATATTAACAACTCATAAACAAAGACATGAAGGGAGAGAGAGAGTTGCATGGATGCTTGCCTCGTTAAAGACTTCAATAAGGGAAGCACATGGAGCATTCTTTGGACTTTCGTAGTCTTCACCTTTGCAATTCTCAACAATTTCCTGAAATGCTAACAAGTTTAAAATGCTAGAAAAATCGTGGCAGTAGAGCAATGGATTATCGTCTTAGCATTGTATGAGACTTCAACACACACTCAGATAAAAAAAAAAATGGTGACACCAGAAGTTTTTACGTGAAAAACCCGTGAAGAAAAAAAAACTATGGGACCTAGCTCAATTATAAAAATTCATTATAAGTTGATGATTACAGTGACTTCTTATTCCACGGATAGGAAAGAGTTACCAAATTTTTTGAATTATAATATTGACGTGTGGATGAACTTGTTGCAAGAAATGAGCGACGATCGATGGTGATCGGCTGCAGCCGACAAGTGAGGGTTGATGGTGGCAGGAGTGGTGTTGGAATATGAACCACTTTAATCGTACGGTCCAGAGAGCTTCCATTGATCATAAGACATTCGATGAACATTTGAGTGTCATAATAGAGTGATCTTGGGCTTGTTGGATTCGGCTTATAAAGACATTCGATTCAATTATAAACTCGCCGGATTCAACATCCGTTTGATCTTTCAAATGTGTCTTAAAAGCTTCAAAAAACGGTTTAATGGCTTGATCGGTGCTCTATTTGGCTCAGATTAGAATAATTTTAGTATCATTAGGTTTGTCCAATCAAGCAATTCTGTAAGTTTGCTTAAATCAGAGCTATTGACGACTTAATCAAAATTTGAACATTTCTTGCTAAAAAGATGCATCGAGATCTATACAACACCTCGAGATTCGTGCCAAATATTAAAAATTTATTAGAAAGTCATATCAGTAATGAAATTCCGCGACTGTCTTGCCAAAAAAAAAAAACAAGTAAGATATGACCTGATAGAGTTCTTCTGAAATTAATCCCATTCCAAAAGCAAATGGTACCCGAGAATTAACATCGATCACGTCACCTGTTGATGGATTACCAATCATATAGCCCTGCAAATTTCCATTAATTAATTAATAGTGCAGATTATTATTGGAATCACAGGGATCACTATTTTCTCATCAGAGCGCCATGACGACCTGAATATTAAGCTTTGGCTGCACTTTGAGGTCATTTTCTGCAGGTCAAAATGATTAATTAATCAACAATTTTGTTATAAAAAAGGAAAAAAGAAAAAAAAATTGATGAATCAGGTTTTTTATTACCGTTTAAAATTTCATGAACTATCACAGGCACAACCTTTCCCGCATAGGAATCCCCGGCAATATACAGAGGGTTTGCAAGGAACTGCTGGTGATCTGCAAACCACTACAAATAAATAAAGGGAAACTTAAATCTTCCATAATAATAACAATGATAATAATAAATGAAAAGGTAGTTTAATTTAATTTCTTTAGCAACCTTTCTGAGAAATATTACAGCATGTTTTGACCAAGATTTATCACCAGTTTCATACCCCAGCGGATGATTGGAGAAAGAGAATCCAGTACCGATTGGTGAATCCAAAAAAATTATGTTGGAAAACTACAAGTTAAAAGCAAAAGGAAGAATCATGCAAAGAGATTTATGAAAATAAACAAGCGATCGAAATTAAATCATACAAATTGTTACAGATAGCTTACCTTAGTCCACGTGTAAGGATTGTAAACTAAATTCGGCAAGCTTCCATTGTACCTTTCTGATCTGATTTTTAACGGGCCTTCGCATGTTGAATCAAGTCAGACAAAATTCCATTAATGAAGAAGAAGAAGAAGAGAGCAGACCGATCTCAAGAGCAACAGCGCTGAAAGCAGAGCAGCCTGGTCCTCCTGAAAGCCATAAGAGAATTGGATCTTCTCTGGGATTCCTCTCCGACTCTATGAAATAATAGAATAACTCTACGCCATGAATTTCATCCACTTCTACATAGCTACAATCACACACACAATCAGTCAGTCAGACTTGATAAACTTTTAGTAAAATCAAAAGGAAAGAAAGTAGGAGACAAAGAAGAAATAAATTACCCAGTTTCTAAATGAAAAGGTAGCGAGCCCTGGTGCAAGAAGCCCGGGAGATTAGCCACGTTGAACGCTGCAGAGAGAAGAAGAAGCCATTGGCTGACGCATAGAAGGAGCAGAAATGGTAGCATCGGACAAGGAAGAGGTTGGAGATGTAGTGCTGATAATGTTTGTAAATGATAAGATTCTAGTTGTTTATAAAGCTGCTGAAGACGGTAGATAAATCATCATTTGTTTGGATGAGACTGAATGTCGGCTTTTTTTTATCAAATCTTTCAATGGTAGATAAACATCACATTTATTAAATGCCACCTCTGGCTTTTATAGCTAACACATAAATATGCTGCAGCTGCCCCAGACCCTAAATCAAATATTTTGATTAAAAATTTCTCCCGCAAACCAAACGTTAATTAAAAAAGTATGTACAGTGACAAAAAAATGACTGGTGTTAGTTGCGTGCTAAATCCCATACCGGACTGTATGTTTATCAGCTTGGAGGAAAACACCTTTCATGTTTAGACGCAGGGCGCGCGCCAAAAAATAAAGAAAAAACACAACTAGTCATTTTAATTAAGGGTCTGTTTGGGGCAGCTGCAGCTTATCCAGCTTCTGCTGATAAGCAGCTTATCCTGATAATCTGCTGATGATCAGCTGATCCGGATAAGCTGTCTGGCTGTTTGGTTGACGTTTATAGAAAACAGCTGATTCTGAAAAATTGACCATTTTGCCCCTGTTCTGAATAAGCAGTTTAGCCGTTTGGTCAGTGCGTTTTGTAAACAACTTTTTTGGAAATTTTTTTTTAATTAAATGAATAATCTGTGCAGCATAATTTATTTTTTTCTCAACAAAATTAAAGATCACTGTTCAGAGAAGAAAATACCAAAAAGATCATTTATATTTATATAACTAAAACATATCTGATCACATCAAACGAATATGTTTAGGGTACACTAAAACATATCAGATATAAACTATGTGCTTATGCATGCGGATGAGCAAGAGAAAGAGGCAAAGCTAAAGTATCACAGTGAGAAACTTGCTCTTGCTTTTGCTTTTTTAATATTACCTTCTCGGACAACCATCAGGATTAAGAAGAATATTAGGATTTGCGGAGATTGTCATCTTGCAGTAAAACTTGTATCCAAGGTAATAAAAAGGGAGATTATTATAAGAGATGCACATCGGTTTCACCATTTTAGTGCAGGCAAATGTTTAGTGCAGCTTTATATCGCCAAAGTGCTATATATGTAAATATGAAAATTCAGGTGTGAGATATGTAGACATATAAGAGTTGTGTGCTGGGCATGTAAATTCTCTTTTATTTTAATTATTATTTTTTTGGTTTCTAGCTCTTTTGGGGAGCTCATTCTTTTCTGAAAGATGGGTCCAAAAAAAGTCCACTTCAACTCTCCAAGTATGCTATGTGATTGTAAAATACTTCTACCTATTTTTATGTATAAATGTAAATCCAATACATTGACAAAAAGAAGAATAGAGTTTGATTTGTAACAACCTGTATCATCATTTTTCTTTTCTTGGTCTCACAAGCATCAGGTTCCATTCCAATGGATGTAGATATTAAAGTGCATTCCTAAATTCCATTCAAATTATTTGTGTCTTGTAATATATCCAGTGATTTCTTACAGAAAGCTGGAACTGGACATTAAGGCTGATATCTTTTGAGAATTTCATGCTGTAAAAACTGGTTCAGCAATTAAATCCTTTTTCTTAGAAATACAACTAATTCATCTAATAGTGCTTTAGAGCTGTACGGCTTTTCGGGCTTGCTTTATTAACAGCTTTCTTGGCTTGCTTTATTAAAGGAATCAGCTTATTCAATCACTTCCATGGATTGAGTAACAAGGTAGAGAAGGCCAGTATTGGTTAGAATTAGGGGCATTTCATACTTCCTAATTTCTATATATTTACATATCCAACAGCTAAATTTTACTTTTAACATTTATACCACCCAAATCTTTCTTATCACATCAAAAATATCCCCATTTTAACTATTAATAAGTGAAATACACCTTTTTGTGCATATATATGGTGTCATATATAAATGCATAAAAATTAAGGTGCTAGATATGTAAATGCATAAAAATTGAATGGTATTTATGTAACACTTCATTAGAATTATTTGGATTCTACCACTTTTCATCATAAACTTGCCAGTAGCACAAAGGCCCTGCTCCTCTCCATGAATCAGGGAAAATAGTTTAGAGGTTTTGTGACTGATTTCACTTACTGTTTGCTTTAAAGTTTGTTTAATCCTGCGTCGAGAGCGAGAGGACAGGGGAACGACTGCGATCCGGCTTTGAACGGAGATGAGAGGGAGAGGCGAAGCTCCTAGCCGGGGCTTTGAACAGAGACGAGAGCGAGAGGACTGCGATCCGGCTTTGAACCGAGACGAGAGGGAGAGGCGAAGCTCCTAGCCGGGGCTTTGAACAGAGACTAGAGCGAGAGGAGAATCTACGGTCACGGGAGAGGCGAAGGAAAAAAGCAAGGTCACGGGCGTAAATTGAATTGGAAAATGCGGACTGCGGGCTGACACGGACCGCGGGGCGCCCGCGGTCCGTGTCTTTTGCAATTTATAAAACACATTTTTAAATAATCTTTTCATAAGTGGGTACCAAACAGTTATAAGCTGTCCCAAACGGGCCCTAAGTGGGTTTACATCGCTATCGTCAGCTTTTAATTTTATATAAATATTTGTTCAAAATGGTATAGTGATATTTTTTTGTGTTGTTAAAAATCTTAGTGTTATGAATGTAAATATTAATTATTTAGATGATATATGTGTAAATACACAAGAATTACGTGATATTTATGTCAGTGCCCCAAAAACATTTAATTTAAATTCTTCAATAAAATACAATATTTGAGATATATATACATATATATATTATATAAAGAGAAAACAATTTGTATTAAGTGCTTGAGAACTTATGATGATGAATATTAAAATTTATATATATGGTCGGAAGAAGCTGCACTCATATTTCAAAAAGAAAGACAAAATTGCACGAAATGGCCTAAGAGACAAGTTAAAGAGACCTTGCTTACTCTAAACAGAACAATTAGTGTTAGTTGGAAATTATTAAAAGAAAATTTATGAGCTTGGATTATGGGAGTCTCCTGTGGAGAATTGCCAGCAAAGAAAATTATAGTAATACAACTCGCATTATACAGGTTTCACACTCCAAATTGTAACTTGTATCATAGTTCCACTAACTGAGATGCAGACGAAATTCGAACGTCGATTCCAGAGATTACGTCTTGATTGACACCAACTACTGTGCATAGCTTCGGCAGAGCAACAGATAAATCTACAGCACTCTCAGATTCCTTCTTCTTCATCACAGGCTGATCATTCTGTGAATGGCCAAACAATTGATTCTTCGTTTCAATGCAGGATATGAGATCATCCGTTGTGCGAGCCTTGCTCATCCTATCAATCAGATCATCAGCCTCCATGGTTTTCTCTGCTACACTCTTATCCAACTTTTTTGGCCTTTTCAGCTCCCTATAAGCATCTAATTCATCATCATTTGCTGAAACCCCAACTTCATCGCTGATATGCTCCCTTTCCTGCAACGTCCTCAACTTTTCATTCACCAGGTTCCTTATCCTCTTCCTCATCGTATCTACTCTTCGGGGATTAAACTTTAGCTTTACTTTCATTAATGCGACCAGCTTCTGAATCCTGTCCTCTGATATGTCTTCCACTGTGGACGGGTCATCACTTGTTGAGAATGTCTCCTCCAGCAAGCTAGCATTGTACAGATATCTCTCAAAAGCTTCGTTCTCTACTTCGATGTTCCCATGGATATGCTCCCTCAGCTTTGAAAACCTCCATTTGTTTATGTTAATGGCGTCCTTACCAGCAAAAAGAGTCTATTATTTCATGGCACCGAGCAATCGTAATGTAACATGATGAAAAGGCCCTTTGGGATAACTTCTGCTTTTGTTTTTGTTTTGCTTATGCTATTATGTAAAATAAAATATATTTGATATATTATAACATGTTTAGTTATTTTTAAAAATATTTAGAATAATTTGTGATGTTTTAGAGTATTTTTAAAAACAAATTATTTTATTTATGAAAATAAAATATAAAAACATACAAAAAAATGTATTGAACAAACATGTTTTTAAAATAAAATAAAAACAAAAAGTAAGAAATAAAGAACAAAAGTAATCCCAAACAGACCCGAAGAAAATGTGAAGTCTCTGAACCTTTCTTGTAAGAGCCTTCCTTCCTCTTAGAGAATTAGCAACAGCAGTGGAAAGCTGTCGAAGAGAAGTCAATCTCCAAGAAGCCCTGCACTTGTTTGAATATATTAGCAAGCTCAGCAATTTTCAGACTGGCGTATAGTTTTAAGAGAAATTTACATACATACCACACAATTTTTATGAATTTACATATCCAATGCCTAAGGTTTGATATTTACATTTATAACACCTTGGTATTAAAAACCTATGCGAATAGGTGTGTTTCACCTTTAAAAGTTAATGAAAATGATATTTTTTATGTGATCTCAAAGGCTGCAGATGAAAGTTTTGAGTATTACATGTGTGGAATGTATGTAAATGTCCCCTACTTTTAATTTCCAGGACTTACCCACTTGAAGGAGCATCAGTGGGCGGCGGCTCAAATGAAGCAATCATAGAAGATGGAGGCTTGTCCGGTAATGTGCTATTCTGTTTGAGTACTACAAATTGGTCCAAGATGGCAAAAGAGAAAATGCGATGTTATAAAGAGCATTTTTCTGAAAACATTGGCTTCTTAACTTTAAGATTCTACAAGTTTCGATAGTTTAAATAGGAAGTGGGTGCTTTGGTGAAATTAAAATAAAAATAAAACTTGGAATTTACACCCAAAACTAATAGGTTTTTGATGAAATTGTGCTAACATTCTTTAACAGTTGGAACAAATCTATAAGGATTCTAAACCTGAGGCCCCACCAAAAAGTTGAGTCCCAAAACCAACAAAAATATGAAAACTGCTGAAAGTGATATAAACCGAGTTTAAAAAACCAAGTTTCAAATCTTAAAAAAAAAAAAAAAACTTTGAATTTTGCAGTTAGAAATTACCCAAAATCTATGGTGTACCAGAAGGAAAAAAATTTGCACCATACAAATCATTGGGGGAAAAGAATACGACCAACAGTTTGTTCTCAGAAGAACCAAACAACAATCTGGAATTCATAAATAATTTAACTGCTGCTACAATCAACTAAGAATTGCAAATAATAATAAAAAAAAAGGGATGCAGCAGTGATCAAGGTTCATACCATGAATAGGGCATGGATTCTGAGCTTTAGCACAACAACTCTTACAAGACTGGAATGGGCATCTGCAAGATAAGCATGAAGAACCTCCATGGAGTAAGAAACAGAGAGATGATTTGCAATCTACCAGATTACATAATGCTCAATAAAATCATCAAATGTGTGCTCGAGGTTCATATGTATAATTTCACTTTCATATTTTCTGGAAAATGAGAATTAATTTCATTCTCCAAAAATGTCAATTAGCAACTTCGTAATCCATATAAAGGTCAGTTTCCACTTTACAGATTTCTATTTACCACAACCATTACGAAAGAGTAAAGAAGAGCTCTAGTCTTTGCTTGGATTCAGTCTACGCAATTCAGTAGGTTATATGGATGAGTTTGATTACTTATCAATATTTGGTTGCACTAAAACCCAACAAAATCATTCTTAATATATTTCTTTTTATAGTCAAACCACAATCTGTATGGCTTCCTCACTCTCATTTGCGTGGAATCTTATTTAAATTCTTAATGTGTTTAAATATACAATTATATATGATTGAGGAACGCAAAAAATTGAGAATGTCAACTATAAGAAAATTAATTAATTACTTTGTTTATCTCTTAAAAATCCCCTATAATTTATTCATTATTCTATTCATCTATTGCCAAACAATTATATCAAACAACGGAACTCAGTTGACTATTTAGTTTTGTCATTCAATCAGTCATGACAACAGCAATAACAAGCCTTCATCCCACTAGGTGGGGCCGGCTACATGAATCCTTTTTCTCCATCGTGTCCTATTGACTGTCATATGTTGATTTAATTCGAATAAATTAAGATTATTTTTTATACAACAAGCCCAAGTCTTTTTAGATATACCTCAGCCATTCTTAACATCAATTGAATCTCAAACATCTACTATCCTAACTGGATTATCAGATGATCAACGTTTAATGTGACCAAAGCATCTAAGACGTGTCTTTCTAAGCTTGTCTACCACTAAAGCTACACCAACCCTTTCACGGATACATTCGTTTTGCATTTTGGCATTTTGTCTCTAAGTGTCGTCAAGCCACTCATCCACCTAAGCATTCTCATCTCAACAACACTTAACTTAGTTTTACGCTTCTCTTATATAGGCCAATATTATGTGACATAAAGCATTGTAAATCTCACCAACATCTTATAAAATTTTCCTTCAAGTCTAATTGGCCCTTTTCTATCACACAATAGGCCCTATAAATTCCTCCACTTTAACCATCCAACTTCACTTCTATTAATAGCATCCCCATCTATATCAACATCCCTTTGAAAAATAGACCCAGGATATCTAAAACGTTCACTCCTTTTATTAATGACTCTATACACCATTCAAGCAGTTATGACGATTTTAACTTCAGAATTTTATTAGTAATAAACTTTAGCAACTACAATGAATAAAAATATTATAAGTTAATTGTTTTATCTTCATGCATTTAACTTCAAACAGGATAATGCTTGCCCTAAAAATATATATGACAGGCTACTTATTAAGAGCCCGTTTGGGGCAGCTTATAAGTGCGGCGGCATTTTGAAAACACCGCATAACCGTTTGGTTTGCGCGTTTTTGAAAACGCTGTATGTCGTATTTGAGTTTTTTACACTAAACGCATGCCACGGGTCAACCCCTGCAGTCGACATGCGGGGCCACATTTCAGGATAAGTTGCTTATCCTGAAACGCATAAACTGCCCCAAACAGACCCTAAATTTGATTAAACAGGATTAGTCAATCTTTACAAGACATTTGGGGATGCAGAAGGAAATTTCTCCTCATGGTGGCTAACTCGCATCTTTTTTGTTGCCTTGACACAACCTTGCATTGCATCTTCTCTATAATTTCAAATGTATTATAACTATTCTAATATAAATAGATGATAAATCATGCTTTTTGTATTAGTTGTTAATAGAGCAGCCCAAGTTCAACGGTTCAAACTGAAGTCACAGTGATTCAAACATAATTTTAATATTAGTAGTTCTTCGCATTTTCACTTTTACCATAATTTTTTTTTGAAGCAAACTGATTGAAATTAGTAAATTAGGGCTTAACTATAGTTTTCTATTCTCACTGTTCGCGTTCTATTAAGTCCATGCTTGTGTTCTTAAATGTCATTTTTTGTCAAGGAAATTCTTATTCATTGTTAAGCAATATAATTAAATTTTTTTGTTGTATAATAGGATAATAACATTCGAAACTGGCAATAATAGGGTTGGTAAAAATCCCATTAAAAATGATATTAAACCACCTTTATGAGTATATGTTACAAATTAGAGGAAAAAAAAAGCAATTGGAGAAAGAGGTATTATAGAATTTCATTGCCATATTTGTCAAAGAATGCTTAAGAAAAAATATTTCAGGTTTTAGAGCTCATTTTCTCAGATATGGGCAAACATTTGATCATGCCCCAAAATAACATCCAAACAATTTTAAAAATTACAAAAAGCAGACGGTGGATACTAACCAAAAAAGAAAGCCCTATTTAAAAAGGTTCTCCTTCCATCTTCTAACCAAAAGTGGCCCCAACCATAGCTCATAATTCAGCGGACATTTGACCAAAAAAAGAGGAAAGCATGCGACGACTAAAAAGGATTAATGAATGCTCATGTGATAAAGAATTTTATTATTATTATTATTATTACTAATGCATGTTTTTCTTTTATCATCATAAAATTTCTTGTGATTGATATGCATATGGCATTATTCATCACCCTATAATGCGTCTAGTAGAAATTATTTGGATTATATATTTTAAATTAATAATTTACAAAATATAACAATGTATTTGTTGGCATCAATTTTTGGATATCGTAGGTGTAGGGTGTCCACCTGTGATCTACGAAAATTAGTTATCGTGCCATGCACAAATTTGACTCAAATTGACCTGAGCACCTGCAAGCTTATTCATATGGCCCCAAACGACGAAATGGACAACACGAGTGAGTTTGGAACGTCGATTCCACTTGGAAAAGACACTCGTTGCACCACGATTTCGCGTACGGGCTTAAAATATGCATATTATCATTTTTTTTGACACGATAGTCGAAAAAGTGATCCGAACGACTCCGGACGACCAAACGGACTACACCGGTGCGTCCAGAACATCATTTTTACCTAAGGGACACTTTCATTTTATCGCGATGACGTGTTCAGCAAAAATGCATGGAGAGAGGTTGATTGAATAATAATAATAATTATTATATTATAATAATATTATATATATATATAACCGTAACTCTCTAAAAGAGGGAAATGAAATTTTCATTTTTCATTTCCCTCTCTTCTCTCCTCCCTCCTGAAAATTTCATTTCCCTCTCTTCTCTCCTCCCTCTCTCCTCTATTCTCTCTCTTAAAAAAAAAAAGAAACGGTAAAAAAATGGCTGAGAAGCAACGTCTCTCTTCCCCAAGATCGCGTCTCTCTCGTTCTCCAAAACTCCCGTTCGCAAGAAAGAAAGGGGCTCTCTCCATCTTTTTCGCCAAAAAGGCATCTCCTCACGGAAAACCACTCGCACCCCTCCTCCGGATCCGCGAAACCTCCCTGATCGCTCTACTCCGTCGCCGGCGCCGCTTGCCGCCGGTCCTGCTCCGTTGCCGGCGCCGCTCGTCGCCGGAAGCACCTCTCTCTTTCTTCTTCTTCTTCTCCTTCTTTCTTTTCTTCTTCTTCTTCTTCTTCTCCTATTTCT